GCTTGAAAGCGTTTAGCGCGATGCCTTTGAAAGTTCGGGGCCTGTAGCATATGTAGCTACTTTTGCTACGAGAATAATCCAGCGCTGATTGTTGCAAATTCTCTGAAGTGTTAGCAGCGCTCTTACGTGTAGTTCTCCCCTCTTCAACTCCTCTCAGATATCGTCCTTCCCATGGCATGTCCCAAGGTGTGTGTACGATAGAGGTGGCAACCCCAGCTGTTAGTCTCAGTGGTATTTTATTTGTCCAAATTGGAATTTAAACGTTGGTGTTTTGTAAATTGTATCACAGGCAGCTTCAAAAATAGATACGCAGAAGTTTGGCATTTCGTTTTTACGGTGATGTGCCCCATAACCGTAATGTGTATGACAAGCATGGGGTTGTAACCACCGTCCAATGGATGCAATTAGTTTTTTTGTCTTCTATTTAATGTGTTTTGTGTTTAGTCTTCATTTAGTTATACGGTGTTTTGTGTGTTGTAATTCATATTCTATGCAGTACCGTTTGTCGCAAAGCACTGTCAAGGGGTCCGTGTTGTTGCCATCATTGTTGTTTTCATTCGGCATGTTTTCACTATCATATTCCCTTTCGCCATGTGTCGGTCAAAATAGCACCATTAGTTGAACACTATAGACGGGCAGCCCATCCAACAGACGGGGTAAAATTCTCCACTGGCTCAGTCTCCTTCTCTCAACTATTCTCAGCCAAATATGTTGTGTTCCTTGATGAAGATCTAGACACAAGAACTATCCCCGAGTGCCGAACTCAAACAGAAAACAAGAAGATCTTACGCACAATTGCTTTTTGCAGAAAAGTGGCACTTTAACGTAATTATTTGAACGATTCACTTTGTAACGCTGCACCGACCCTTATCGGTCTTTTTCGCGGTGGTCTTTTATTTGCACAAATCCATAAAAGAGAGAGGGGGAAGGGGTAAATTGTTCAATGGTATGTAACCGAAGAAAAATAATACAGTAATGACGTGCTGCCCTGTGTACAGTGGCATTGTACACCATCGTGGATACTTTGCTTGGTGAGTAAACCACGGGTGACCCTTCCTTCACCTCCCCTTGCAGAAGACGAGCCCTGGGGAACTCGCGACTTAAGCCCTCCGTGAACTTCTTTGAAGTTTTAAAGCCCTCGCAGTTTGATACACTTGGCAAAAATCAATCCCATCGAGCAGCAATTGCCACAGAAAAGAACAGCACGGTTACTAGATAAACGTGGGCAGAAAATCATCAATCGTCTAGACAATGAAGTACGCTGGGCGCACCGCTGATCTTTGCAGCGGTCCGGACAGGAAAGGTCAAACCTAAGATAATCTGGGCAATGGGACGCTGTGCGCACGCACATACACACGTAACACACACACACACAGGGCCATTCCAGCTCCCAATATGGTTAGGTTACAGCGCAGGAGCTTAAGCTTTGAGCGAAAAAACTACGCATCAGAAAGCCGCGCTAAGGTTGTCCAAGCAGGAGCGGGCAAACGCGACGGCAAGGAATGGAGACGTGACTTAATCACACTCATCTGCCGTGGTGCTAATGTAAGCAAGTGTGAACTTTTCAACTGCCCCATTAGACCCACACCTGTTGTGGGACTCTGTACATCAATCCAGCCTGGTTCAGTTCTAGAGTCGTGATTCCTAACATGGATGGAGTCTCTTTTGCCTGTGGTACTGAATGGGCGCCACAATGGCGAGGTGTTAACTACCTCTCCTGGTATACAGGAGGTCATGGGTACGATCCCAACCATGACGCCTGTATATTTGGAGTTTGCATGTCTCTCCCCCTGGTCGCGTTGATTTTTCTCCAGGTCCTCTGGGGTTTCCCTTCACTTTTAGAAACACCCATGTAGAGTATTTGGCTGCTATGCATTTCCACCTGATAAGCCACTTCGTTGAGCTATCATTTGTGACCAGGTCGCTTCTGAAAAAGAGCTTTATAGCTCAGTGGGCCTTACCTGGTAAAATATATGTAAAAAAACAATGCATATTGTTATCACAGAGAACCAGTTCTCTCTGGTGGAGATGTGACTTTAGTTTCATAACGTAGGAAGATGTTGACTGTAAAAACTAAGCTATAGAGAAATGTGTTGGCATGGACATAAAATGCAATACTACCATAGGATCTGTGGTCACTAAAGCTTGTGTATATTGTGTAAACAACCGAACACGACAATGTTCACTGAATTTTGCACTCAGGAATGTTTTCACACCCACACACACAAAACACGTGTGAGTCAGTTTCCTCTCTAGTTTCATAATAATAATACAAATATTTTAATAGCATGCGAGATTAGCCAGAATACCCGCTCATTGAAGAATCGTGATTGCCTGCTTGTCGCATATCAAGATACAATAAAATGTGTGGTATCCGAAAACAAATGTGAAGCGTAGACTAATGATCCTCCACAGGAGCTTCTCTAGAGGCCCATCTCGTGGAGGCCCTTCTGCCAGCAGTGGGGCGAGCGAGGGATTGCATGGCTGCACCTTTACCACTGTAAATAATGTGTTTAGTGTACGTAGATGGACAGTAGCTCATCGTGCCTACTTCCGGAGTAGCTCCTCGTGGAGGAACTTGATTGAGAATTTGCAAGAAAGCACGTGACCGTCGAAGCAATATCCGATGATGCAGAGTCTTGGGCTTTGTCTAGACTCTAGAGGTATAACAACGCAATGCGGTGAGAGTGCCCGAAGCCACCCACATTGGCGAGTGTACACGCACAAGCCCCTGAGCTCAGCACCACTCCGACGACAGAAACGTGTTTACAAGAAGTGACACGTGACCTCGGCGCACCCTTCAACCCTCACCCTCAATAACTCCACCGCTGTAAAATGTGTTCAAGTAAAAGCTCAAGATGTGCTTATATATTCTCTCAGCATTAAAGGGTGAGATGGTGTGAAGAAGATGCAGGGGTGGTTGGTGCAAGGCAGGCAACTATTCCATTAGCACGAAGACAGGAACAACACGAGGGTTGCAGCTTAACCCCCAAGCATAATAATGCCCCGGATGACATCTGACTATATTTTGAGAACGTGGTCCGTTTGTATTTGTTTTCGTTCACAAGTGAATGCTGATGCAGCGTAATTACGTTTTGCCAAAGCAATAAACGGCATACTCTTTGGTTCTTTCGGTAAAGTCACGTAGGTATAAAGTAAAATAAATCACGACGTTTCGGGCACAACACAAGACTGTTTTAAAAGGTTAAAAGGTTTTAAAACAGTCTGCCTCAGCAGCAGATCATGCTTTCTCACTTGATGACGAACGCTTGTGTTGCGCCCGAAACGTCGTGATTTGTTTTATTTTATTTCTAACTACGTGACTTTACAAAAAGAACCAAAGAGTATAGATTCCTGTCGTCACGAAAGCTTCAAATCAATAAATGGCAGCGCAGTAAATAACGAACAGGAAGCGAGTCCTTTCTATTGTTGTTACATTTCATAATTTACAGTTAATATTTTTTTCGTATGTGCTTGCATGTTTCTTTTTTTAATTTTACTCCTAGCGACACTCGTGTTGTCCTCACCTGTATCATCTCGCATCTCCCATGTCCGTCCGAACTCCGTCCTGCACAATCTCTCAACGAACGTGAACCTCAATTTAAAGCTTTCGTGACTGCAGGGATTCATCTTCTTGGTTCTTTCGGTAAAGTCACGTAGAAGGGAAGTAATAAAATAATACGTGACTTTGGTTCTTTCGGTAAAGTCACGTGACTTTACCGAAAGAACCAAAATAATTATTTTATTACTTCCCTTCTACGTGACTTACCGAAAGAACCAAGAAGATGAACGTGAACCTATTCCACCTACCCCTTCTGCCACAAGCAGCCACAATTAAGTCGCTACACAACCAAATGCTAAATACTAGTACCAAGCAGATAACAGTCGTTGTCCCAAGGTTCGATTTACTGGGACAGTTAATGGCAGATTCGTAGATGTCTCACCATGCCACCTCATGCCAAAAATACCCAGCTCTGCTTTAAAGAATTGCACCTCGACGACAGGCAGCGAGGAATGCATGTAAATACTCCAGAGCCACAATGGAGACAACGCACAGGTCCATAGGATCATTGTGTTTAAACTTTGATTTAGTTTTTTTTGTATGACAACAATCGAGCCGAGGGGAGTAGAAGGTGTACGCACATATCAGGCAAAAAGCCAAAAAAGTGCAATGACCAGGCAAGCATGCATGCATTTGATTAGTATGCTAGGAAGGCCAGTTCACTTAATTAGATCCCGCATTTTACATTTTACGTGCTACCTGCAACTTTACGGGAAAGCGACATGAGGGTGATGTCATGGAACACAACAGTAAAAACAAGGCAATGTTATAGCTCTGCCTGGTGCCACGATGCACACCAGAAAGTGAAGAATTGAGGCAGTGTTCCAATGCATTTCAACTCAATAATAACCGTCTTGCATTTGCCTCGGTAAAAACAAAAATGGACCAATAATGTGTGGGTTTTTTTTATGTGCGCTACGCATACTTTCCGTGTTTACGTCAAGAAAATGTTAACGTCTTATACTGTAGTTTGTGGGACGTCGTATTTTTGGTGGTTTAAACTGAGTAATTTTATAAGCATATGTTTGTACTTCTGTCGTTTTGGTGATGCGTGCCACTGAATACACAGTGCTGTGAGATTAAGCAGACTGGTGTTATGGTTAGTCTTAAGTGCAATTCATATTATGACAAGGCAGATCAAAAAATCTATATTGCTATAATCTTTAATACAATCAATGGGTTCTTCTAAAGTTACAAAATAGATGCAAATAATGGTTGCCACTACAGTATAGCATTTATAATTTGTTAATTTATTCTATATTAAACACTGTACGTTATGGTACCTAAACAGCAAGGTTATGATTAAAATGCAACATTTCCAACATTTATTTTTGTTCTCTCACGATAATCGAAACTAAAATAAACAGAAATAAATTCAGAATCACAAACTCCCTTAATCTGATTTTTGTTCTTTAAAGTTTTAACAAGCATTCGATAGATGTCGGTCTACGACTACATCATCCGGAATGTGTCCCGATATCGAAGATCTTGGAAGCTCAGCGTGCTTGAGCCGGTAGTGCGTCGATGTGTGACCACCACGCACATCCGACTGTTTAAACCTGCCGCGGGGCTATGCGGTTGGCAACAGAGTTCAACGCAGTGAAATCCACCGTTGTGCTGTACTTCCCATGCTCCCCACTTGCGCCAACTCACAGTCACCAGCATATTGAAGCAGAGGCCAAATAACTCCCACAACCCACGCGGTGTGAGGATTGGATGTGCATGCACAAATATTCGGCTCTTTCGGCCTGTGACAAAGGAGACTGCATGTGCCGCTGATGCCAAAAGGTCCCCCGCACAATATGATGGAAGAGCGTAGAATAAAGGGTCGAGTGAGTTCAGATCCTCATCGCCGAACCAGGCGGTGAAGTGTTTATGTCTTCTGGAATGCGGCTGTATGGTTAGAGTCGAGATCAAGTTCCAGATGGCATCATGGCCAACGCCGTTGATGTCATCACACCACCCCAACGGTTTCCAGCCTTTGGCAGATCCTGCAGCTACACACGGCCTCCATGAACTACCCTGACAGTCACCCACCGTCTGGCCTTACGTCTTCCCCTTGGCATCGGACAAATGGAGACGACTCCAATGATTCTCTCATACATAGCTCACGCTCAGCGAACATATGATTATTTGTGCATTTAAATCCTGTTTGAGAGTTGACTCGATTCTTTAGCACTCTGGAGTCAATAACATTTTAAAAAATTGTATCGAAGTCAACGGTGGTCATCCCATGATAAAGACTAGTACCTGCCATAGAAATGAATAATTTCCACCACTGGTGGTCTTCTGGCCTGCAAACAGAGATGAGCACTCTCAAATGTTCAGTTTTTATTTGTTGACCCAGGTCACCCGTAAAAGGGGGCTTGAAGCCTTTAATGGATTCTAATCTGGTAAAAAGAAATAAGAGTCTATGAGTCCTCGTTTGTGTATAGAAACACACTGATCAAGTCCAATGTGCGTTTAGAAGGTACATTTACGAGTCAGGATGCCACAATGGTGAAGATCAAATCGCCAACTAAGGTTGATGATGATGATCAGGAGAGGAGTAGGCATGGGGCAGAGAGGGAGAGATAGGATGAAGGCTGGGATGAATCACTGGAGCCTAGGTGCCCTGGGGCCACGTGCACCATGCACGGCACATCCCTTGTGGCCACATGGCTGAAAATAAAACAAAGTTAATCGCTGGGTGGTCGAAGTGACGTTTACACCAACTCTGAGTGACTGCGTAGGGTTTTCGCGGTTGTGCTGGACAGCTCTCCAATGTTGTACCGCGTGTTGTTCAGAAATGCTGTCCGAAGTTTCGGTTCACATGCCGGGTGCTTCTTCAGTCCTTCGGTTGTTAAAAAGGAACTCCCAGAATTAGAAGCGAAACAGCATTGTGTCTGACCCATCGCTTCAGAAACTGAAAAACGGATTATTTCGCTGCTATAAATTTCCACGTGATTATCCACTTGGTTAAGCTATTGATTGTGGCCATGTCGCTTCTGGAAAAATAAGCTAATAGCTCAGTGGTGCCTTACCTGGTAAGATTTTAAAAAATATCTTAGTTGTATTTGTATAATTTTTTTAAGTGTTTAGTTTACCTTTCCTACACTGTGCACTCCTATCGTGTGTTTGTGTTGTTTGTTGTTGGGACATTCTGAATTGTCCCTACTGGACATCAGTGAAAAGGGACTTTATAACTCATAGGATTCCTCCAGTAGAAATACATATTCTGATTCTGATATGGAGCGAAACGTCCGACATCGTGTCCAACGACATGCAATACAACTCAAAAACACATCACATGTTGACCTTCAGCACCTTTGCCTGGCGATTCCCTCAACATGGCCTTGTCCAGCCCTGGTTTATACGGCTCAAACCCCTGTCCAGGTGTCAAGTCAGCACCTCCGTGAGATGCATTATTGAGGCTTGTAAGCAAATTGGTTTAACATTCATCATCATCATCAGACATAATCCACCGCTCCTGCGGTATAATAATTCACCTAGCATATGTACAAGAGCTGATTGCAATGTACCATCTCACACAGTTGGCATCCTCTCGGATCAGTTTCATCCCTTGGCTGCACCTCCATTATGATTCTTGACCGTTGGCGATCATCTTATCCAGCGACATGCCCTGCCCAAGCCTGCTCACTTCTTCTTCACTTTCAGAATGATTTCGCTTTAAAGCTTTCGTGACTGCAGGGATTCATCTTCTTGGTTCTTTCGGTAAAGTCACGTAGAATGGAAATAATAAAATAATAAAAATAAAACATAATACAATAATTCTCACGACGTTTCGGCCACAACGCAAGCAGCCGTCCTTAGGTGGAGAACAGGTCTGTCGAGTAGATTTCAGAATGATGTTTTCATTTAAATATAAATGCTGACCGTTTGGTTTATATGAATATTCGCGTGTTTGTCACGTGTTTGGTCTCAGCCCAATTTGACCCCGGATGTTGTCGTTTTTTTTCAAATATTCGATTTCGTCTTACTCAGCTTTATAAACACATAAACAGCCACCAGTTACAAAGAAGACATTTCCAGGCGGGTTATTTATGCTGAATTAGTTTTTTTCCCCGAGTTCCAGCGAGTCCCGCCAAATTGTCACTGTGGAGCATCCTGCAGTGATTTGTTCAAGGTTGTATCCACTCAACAGCTGCACATCACGCAATGACTGAGAAGCCTGCGTGTGCGTGTGATGCGTGTTTATATGCGTGTAGAGCGGTGGCGCAGTGGTTAGCGGCACCGTGCACTACTAACTTTGCAACTTGAGGTCAGCTGCCGACCATGGCTCTCAGTGGAGAATTCTATCTGAAGCAGCACTGAGACGTCCGTAGGGTCGATTCAGCTCATATGAACATCTGATTAGGTTTGTAATCATCAACGGCTGGGGAGACAAATGTGGATAGAAGTGTTTCTGGCCACACCAATCCCTTTGTGTGACATGCCAGTCTTAGTAAGTGCTCGCTAACAGCACTTGCCCCGAAACTGTAAAAAAAAGGTTACATGAGGGATATTTGTATTTTGGGCGCAGTGGTTAGGAGCACTGCATTCCGAATCCAGTAACTTGAGGTCGATTTCTGATAATGGCTAATGTCAGTGGTGTATTATATCTGAAGATGGGACTTCCCTAGGTCGACTCAGCCTAAAATGAGAATCTGGTTAGGCGTGTGAACATCAGCACTGAAGAGACAAAAGCGACCAGGCATGGTGCTAACTACACCACCCGCGGCCTTAATAGGTGCTCACTAACAGCACTTTCCCCAAACGTCTTGGTCTTCATGTGTATTAGTGGAGTGGTGGAGAGGTTCACAAACTGTGCTGTGATCCCATCATTGGCAAACGGTATCTCAACTCTGTCGTAGGCCTTTCCTTGATTAACGCGGCTTTTAATAAGTAGATTGTGCAGTGTGCAAGCATCATGGTTGGGAAAAATTGGTGTAGCCATCGTGGTTATGTTAGTGATCAATGGCGAAGGGGTCACCGGATTTTTAAAAACGCCGGATAATCACATCATTATTTAAAATAGTTTTTTTTACATTATGTTTTTAGCGGTTGTGTACGCGTCTTTTAGCGTTATAAAATTTGTTTGCTATGTGAAATTGGCACAAATAAACGTACAAAATAGACAAACATAATTATCCCACGGTAAAAAACAATGTCACGGTATTCACTCTACCGTACTTACAAACTCCAATCTCGAAGACTCTGCATCTGGCAATGTATCTAGCAGTAGTACTACGCTCTTGTTTCAACAACTTGTGTTTGACGATCACCGGACTGATACAGCCTTTATACCGGTGAGTTACACGCACTTTTCGCCCGATCGCACTGTATAGTTTCTGTTCTTATTACCGTAGTTATTAGTCATGAAAAATGTCCATACGGTCGGTGCAGTATTGTCACTGTTTAAGTTGTTGCATTTTAGTGTATAATGTACCGTATAAAATAATGGGCACTGAAATTAAGCACAGCTACTTTTTTTAGTGTCACACATTACTGAGCCCTCATTACTTTGATAGTGCATTGTCTTTGAGCCGTACGCCTTTTGGCGTCCTCTGGTCGAGCACTAATTGGGTCGAGGCTCAAAAGAAAGCCGTCCCTTGGTGTGGACCAATCAGTTTCAAGGACAATGCATATATTATCATAGTATGTTTTTTGTTTGCATTTTGACTGCAAGTATTGTGGTTAATGCAGACATGAATCCTTGTAAAAAGGTTTCAGTTTTGTTGCCAGAAAAAGGGGAAAACCCCTATTATTATAAGACATTGGAAGTAAATTATTATGTAACGGTACTTCGTATCAGTACACTGACTGCAGATAATATTTTGGTCCCAATAACATTGAGAGTACAATGGTGGGAGTGTTGCAGATAAAAACCTTTTACTAGGTTTCCTTAGAGATCAACATCTGCTGCCATAGCTTTTGGGAACGATGCTCCATAATTTATTCATGGACTAAAAGTATTTTATATGGAGTATCTTTCATGCACATGGCTACGCTCAGATGTCAGGAATTTGACAGCACTACAATTACTGGATTAGAGCAACGAAAATAAATTATTCCCGAGTGCAAACAGGAAAGGAATGGGTGTTGACTGGCAATTTGAAAATTGTGTCATTTTAGCGATGAAAAAAAACCCAATTACATTAAAAGCAAAAATAATTACTGTAATGTCTTTAACAAAAAATAATCAAAGCTGTCGTCTTCGTTATCCGCATGTATAGTTGGCCATATACCGCAGCTTCAATTGCACCTTTGTTTACAATGGGCTGGTCACACATTCTGATAACAGCATCCAAGTGTGCATGATTGTACTTGAAAAAATGTGCCAGATGGCATGTTTTATTCAGTTGTCAGCGAGTTCAAATAACTAACCTCCTGTTGGCCGTGATATAAACATTTACGCTCTTCAAATGTCATCAGCAGCAGCCACGATCTATTAATTGCTGGATAAAAGCCTCCCCAGGTCGTCACCTTCCCTCTCGGGCTCCTGTGTGAGCTGATCCCATCAGTCCATCTCCA